GTGTCATACCACATACTTTAATCAAATTGAAACTCAAAAGAGCTAACCAACAACATCAAAATATTTTTCTACTAACATAATCAAAATCAAGATATTTTCGAAAAAGGATTAAAGAGAATTACTTTCAAAATTAGTTGCGAACTACATCTACGATCACTCTTTTACAAAACCCAGATAAGGTTCAAGGATAAATTCGAAAGTAATTCTACGCAATCCTATAAAAAACACCAGCCAACACTGCGAACTACGAATTGAGACTCTGATTCCTCCTAAGAGGATACGTAGGCATACGACTAAAATCGTGGCAAATTCCCCTAATAAAAACTAAAACCCTATTTCTTAAAGATTGCGTTTCTAAACCCTAATATCCTTGTGAACAAGGTAGATGAGGGATGTCAAACACCTTCCCTTCGTCTAAAAATGAGTCAACAACTTAGAATCTTTGACTTATTTAGGGTTAACCTTTATATTCCATTCCTTAGGATAAAAATTAAGGGTGACGACTCTATATTTAAAATTGGTTACAACACCACTATAGTGGATTTCCTTAATAGCTTGGTAGTCCCCAAAGTAGGTGACGTTGCACCGAACTGGGTTAACAATTGATTGTGGTTTTTAATTTTCTGCAATTTATTTTCTGCACAATCTCCTATTTTACCAAGTCTATTTTCTGTAAGCGGGTTTTCTAACATTTGTCTTGAAATTATGTTGGTGTTGGGACATCAGTCTTGAACTCTGTATTGCACTGCCATAATTTCATAAATGAGTTTCTTTATCACTACATAAAGTATCATAAATATGAGCATTCTCCAATATCAAGAACATATTCTCTAGTCAATCGTCCATATATTCATCTTAATCCACTATTTGAGTTTGTGACTCCTGACTTCCCTCTTTATCCATATCACCATGCCACGTCCATATTGTATAATTTTGACGTATACCATCACAACATAGAAGATGAAAGATTTCATCCTTTTTACCTTTTGACGCAATTAACACAAGGACAATAAAAGATATCATTATTGTCAGGAAGATTTTGATCATCATATTCAAGGAATTCAAGAACTCATTTCTCATAAACCAAACCTAATCTATCGGCTTTCATCTAACTACGATCCGTAACAACTTCTGAACTTTACACATGAATAATAATGTGAATGACACACCAAAATCAAAACTAAAACCATATCCAAAAACTAAAGCATATTCATAACAAAAATATAACTCTAAACCTTAAGCATATGCATATCCATCACAACGATATAATATTTTTGATCACTTCTATATCCAACTGAAAAACCTAATGCATATGGAACATGTATAATATACAACATGAACCCAAGAAAGGTACATGTTTCATTCAAAGGAACAAACAGAACAACAAAGAAACGATAAATATGAACCAAGAACAATATACAACATTGAACGAAATATGAAGCAATTAACATGTACCCAAAAAAAGGAATAAAAATCGAAGATGAAGAGTACCATACTTCGAAGATGAGGACGAGAACAAGTATGAAGATGTTGAAGATTTGCGATTCAAATGAACAAAGAGGGTGAAAATTTGAGTTCCAAATGAATGAATATGATAATGATACATACTACGCTATCGATGTCGTCTCTGGTTTGCTTGTTCACCTAGGACATCTTTTGAAAGAAAAGCAGAATAAGTTTTGTTTTAATTTATAAGTAAAACCTTTAACCACAGTTGAACAATTCAACCGTAGTGGAAAGTTAAATCATCTAACAACGGTTGATTCAATTCACCGTTGTTAAATCATTTTCAATTTATGTTTTCAATAATGGACTTAAGTGATACACACTTAATGTACTCGAAAAAATGGAAAAAAATTAGTTGTTGGGAATCGAAGCTTGTTACACATAATTTATCACCACGATTTTTAAAAACAACCGTCATTAAATTAATTTTTATAAAACAAGTCATTTATTTGGTGCTTCAACTTTAATATATTACAATGATGTATAGGATACCATTGTAACTTTGACGTTGTTATATATACGCTTTGTAGTAGTGAAAGAGAGATTAATGCTAAGGCTAAAATATAGATCTATGCTGCAAAGGAAAAAAATAAAACAAACTTCAGAAATTTTATTAAATAACACAAATTCAATGTTACATTATAAATAACTAGGGTTTTGCTAAAAACAAATGGGTCACACGTCTCTTTTAAAAAGCATTAAAAAGTTGTTAAGGTAGACTAATTGCAACCTCTTAATATAAATAAAAGTCTTGCAGCATAATTGACATTCTTCACTCTCTATTCTATTTGGCTTCCTATTAGTGTAGTTCAATGCTTATTTCAACAGAGACATCTTGACGGATATGTTACAGGAGTCAAATATGGGCCAATGAGTAGTGATGTTTGCTTTGGTTTTCCAGACCATGTTGTATTGCGTCAAAGGCATTTTCCTCATGTTCTATTTTGCTGTGTTATGCTGTTTGGAGACTGATTTTATTTGTAAAATGCATTGTATTGGATGTTTTGTATTGGCCATTGGGTATTTTCATATTTGTACCTGAACTGGTACTTGACCCATAAACATATCTTATGTTGGGTGGGTATTATATTTATAATATTTATTTTTGGCTTTTCACAAAATAATAATAAGCATTCCTGTCATAGATTTATGCACACACTTATCGTTTATTACATTAGTTGTAACACTTAATCATACAATTGTAACATTAATTAATAATTATCTGCTGATCTTCATACCTGACCACCTGTAGTCTTTTTTCAAATCATGGGTACATTATCTTCTTCTTAAGGTGATCATCGCTTGTCACATAATTCTTCCTTCAAACAAGAGTACATCTTCGGCGGCCACTAAAATCTCTGGTCGATTCCGCCTAGTTTGTAAGCCAATATCATATAGTCGGGCTTAACCAATTTGGTTTCTTAACTCACAAGAAATATCCAGCTTACTGATAAAGTTATCCATCTTCAAGCCATGTGACATTTAGGTTTTAGTTCCTAAAATCTTCATACAAAGTTGGTGTGTGCATCATCACTTTGGCTCTATGCAAAGAATTCTTACTTATAGCATCCACCACCATACTTTTACCAGGTAGGTATTTTAATTCAAAATTACAGTCCTTGAAGAAGTTCATACATCTTGTTTACCTCAAGTTGAGTTCTTTATGATAAAAAAGGAACCTTATGAAATTCAACTCTAAGTCATGAGTGAGAAAATTTTCTTCACGAGGTTGCAATTTCCAAAAGGCTTAGGTTGCTACTATCTAATCTTGCATCTGTCCACATCCTAATCCTCATAGATAAGTGTTGCAATATACTTTGTATCCTCTAGTAGAATATGGAATAATCAATACTAGTTAAGTGATTAATTTTATTCTCAGTTCACTCAAACTCCAATTTCATTCATCATTCCAAACAAAGGTTGATTCCTATTGTTTCAATCATGTCAAGGGCAAGTTTAATGATGAAATTCATGTAGTAACCTGTAAGCTCTAAGAAGCTTATAACCTCTTCAACATTGTTGGGTTTCTCCAATTAATTATAGCTTCTATTTGGATGAATCTACAATCACTCCTTCTTGGTTTGTATGCCCCATAAGTTTCGCTACAAACATCCAAAATTCTTGTTGAATTTAATGAACGACTTATTTCCTTATAGCGTTGGAAAAACTACCCTGAAATTTTCTTCATATTGTTGAGGTAAGGTTTGAAGATTCGGTTAATGTTATACGTGAATATTGTTGATGCATTTTATCACTTCGAAAGGCATCACAAAGAATTCATAGTGACCATAGTTTCTCCGCAAAACAATCTTTAGCCTCTTATTAATGGTTACTTGCGGGATCAGCTAAAATAATCCCAGACTTTTGTGTTGTTTTTGAATGTTTATACAGTTTTGGTTAAAAAGGGCAAAAGTAAAGGTACAATTGCAACAAAAGCGTAAAAACAGAGAAAATAAAAGAAGTAAAAGACAAAGGCAATAAGTTAAAATGAAAACTAGAAATTACTTTGAATTAAAATGTGGAAGCATTCATACATTGTCAAGCTTAGATCTCGTTTCTCTCTTAAGATTAATATACTTTGAGTGTATTGCTTTTAATGTGAAGAAAATCGACCTTTACACAAATACATAAATTTGCTTTAAATAGAAATCCTAAGAACGTAACCGTCGTTGGTTAGGGTACCCCATGTTGGGTCCCGCATTTCCGCGCTAGTGAACCAATTTAAAACTCAAAACATCCTTTTGGCGCTCCTCTAGCTTGTCCATCGATCGACGCTTCACTGTCCTTAACTCAAGCTTTTGTCGACTTGGTCTTCCAGGCCTATTAATCTTGTCGGCTGATGTCTTCCGTCAGAGCATTTAATTGTGACTCTTTAGTAAACCCACCATTAACCATCATTTACGCCCCTTTTTCCTAGGGATACCTTCTAACTTAAAGGCATACTTTTCCTGTCGAAAATTGCTTGTCAACGCCCCCCAAAATGCTAGATTCGATGAAGACTCTTTGTCGGTTGGAGAATTTTGGCATTTTCTCTTCCATATTTTTGACTGCACGCCTCTTACTATTGACGTCATGCGTCATTATGGCCTTTTCTACGCACAGTTTCCCACGCTCATCAATCGTGTCTCATGATGACTCCTAGTTTCTAGGGTGTGGGTTTCTAACCAAACCCCACTAACCTTTCATTTCCTGCCCCGCACACCCATAATTGATGTGACACCTGCCCTTCAATTGCCTTAAACTTCCCCTTAAATAGTTGCTTATAAACATCTTGTCTGTTTCTTCTTTACTGATTAAATTCAAACTTTTGCAGTTTTCTACTAAGAGAAAACCCCACATGTTCTCTTGCTTTCCACAATGGTTTCCTCAAAGGCTTCTTTCAACACTAGTAAGGCCCCCATAGCCTTCTCCATTTCTGAGGACAACGATTCAAGCTCCATTTCACAACCCCCCCGTCAGACAACAAAACTCAGATTCAAGCATGGCAACGGAAAATGCTCATTCCTTTCTCCATCGCAGGGAAACTCTTTGCTTTCCACAGGCCCTATCCTACTGAGGAGAATCACCCCCAAAAGGTTAATCAGTTCCTCCCCTGTTTTTCCTCCACTGCACCCTTAGCCCTTACTCTTGCTAAACCTATTTCAGCTAGGTTTATGGTTTCTGGCGCCCACATCTTCTGTTCCATTCCCCCCGCCAAACACTGCAACATACTTTACTTGGCTCGACAAGGTCCAGGCACAAAAACGAACTCAATGGGAGCATATCAAGGAGGACTCATCAGATCGAACCTAACTTCGTCATGTCCTCGATCTTCTTTTAGGAAGGTTCGACCAACACCTTCCAATTCCCATGTGGGATGTTGACGCCTACATTGTTTAATGTGGCGGTCATCACTGGACTTTCCCCACTTGGTGGGATTTTTACACCAACTAAATCAATGAAACATTCATTCCACTTCGACCGTTCAGATTTCACTCAATATGTTACTGACCACCATGATAAGAGTACGGACCACGTTTATGATAACGAGCATATTGCCTTCTTGACACTTTGGCTTTCCCAATTCTTGTTTTGCTCAGGATCTTCTCATGTAGCCAAGACGTTTATACCTCTGGCCATCCAACTTCATGAGGGCTGAAATTTTTCTCTAGGTAAGCTTTTGTTAGTGCACCTTTACAAGACTTTAGGCAACACGGCATGTCAACTGAAGTCCCTTTCTAGCCATGACAACAAGCTAGATCTCGCAGGACCTATCTGGTTGCTGCAATACTGGTTGATTGCCATGTTCGAACAAAAGTTGGGATACTTTGTTCCTGATGTTCAACGCTTATCTCGAAACACCAATAGTGAAGGCCTAAGGTTGTCTTTTGCCACTCCCTCGACAAAACTCGATCGACATGAATTTATGAAATTCGTCAATCTGTTTGTAGAAACTAAGACTTTTGGTTCGAATCTAGCCCTTTTTGTAGGTAAACCGTGTGGTCCAAAATGGCTTAGGGACCCTTTTTCTGGTGTTTCGTAAAACATTGGTCGAACTAAGGCCATATGGAGGGCCTTCCTAACTCCTACCTTACTTTCTTGTCGACTCGATCTTGGGCCGCAGGATTATAACTTCATGAGTTACCAACCCAATTTGGTGGCTCGAGAATTTGGCCTTAGTCAACTGTTGCCTCCTTCTTTATTCTCCCATCCTGGCGACATCGTATGGGTCGGTAGGCAACTGACTGCTTACGATCACCAAGCATGTCTTCGTCTTCATAAGGCTACTCAGGCTCTTGACCTTCCCGTTTTCCCTTTCGAACACTCTTTCTATACTTCGGAGTTATTCGACCAATGGTGGTCTCAATTTCAAGCACAAAACATCTTAGTGCCGATTTTCCTTCAAAGGCTTGCTGACGCCTTCAAAGTCTTGGACACTCCAAAGCCCATTCCTGCTCCGACGCCTCGGAAACAAAAACATTCTTCTCTTGGGAAGGCAAAGAAAACAAGAAGTCATATTTTTTACTGACCCCACCCCACACGCGCCTAATGTCGTGCCACCAGTTTCAAAGGCACCTCATCTCTTTCCTTATGCTCACTTTCTTACTTCAAGTTCTTCTGCTAAATCAAGAACTTTATAGGTACCTTCCTGTGCAGACACGGTTGCCTTTCGTCCAACTAGATCTCCCCCTTCTGGTATAGATACTGGCAAGTCGAAACATCCAGCCTCAGCCAAACCCGATTCTCAAGTTTTGCGTGATGCGCCAACTCCTGTCTCTGAAACCCAAATTGAGATTAGGGCTTTAGCAGAGCAGGACCCAATGGAAGCACTCGAAAAGATTTGTCTCCTGCGCGATACACCAGTCACATCACAGGCTCCTGGTTCTCCTTCCTTTCTTATCGCTGAACTTGATGCTGAAGTAATTGACGCACTCCACCAGCTCAGGACATATTTATTCAAAAATGAATTCATGGATGCCGTCACGGACGAGGCTCTCAGGCAGATGCGATTTTTAAACTCCTGGTCCTAATTACCCAGCATGCTATTCTTGATTCCTTGGCTCAATACCTTACTAACTTTGAACCTTTCTTTGCCCAATTCGCCAAAGACCTTGCTCATTGTAGGCAAACTGATCTTCAGATCATAACCAAGATAAACAACATGGGGATCGAATGGGATCTGAATGAGATTTCTGAAAACAAAATTGAAGAAACAGCTCTCCAACTTAAAAATGACATCAATGGTTTACAAGTCAAGAAAGCACATCTCAACGGCAAGGTCTCCTATGAAAAGACCCGTTTGGCGGATCTGAAACTTCGATTCCCTTTTTAATTCCATCATTGTCTGTGTCGAGACTGGTGCTCATCTTTTAGACATGTAATGATGTTTTATGGTTACCATTTTGGCATGTTCTATTTTGGTTACCAGTATTTGATATGCTTTTATTGTTTTTTGAACAAATAAAGCATTGTGATTCATTATGGAAAAAAGTTTTTTACCATTACGACAAAACTCTTATTATCAAGACAAAATTTCTAAATGCCACGACTAATTTTACCTTATCATAGATTTTAGAGTGTACACAATGCAAATTTAATCATTATAAACTTAAGTGCAATAAGGCATGCACTTCAATTGATTCATTACATTGCTGAAAAGTACAAATAATAGACATTACATTACACCTAATTTTAAACGATAAGTCTTTCGATCTTACTAACACAAAGGCCTATTGTTATAGATATAATATAACCTCCGACTTTTCGAAGCTGCTTGTTTGTTTTCAGCTACATAGGCTGAAATCTAAATCAGATTATATGACTTACTGATCATCTTTGTCAACCAAAGGCCAACCTGTCGGTGAGCATGACTCCTCGTCCCTTATTGCTTCTTACGTATCCCATATAAAACCATTATCAGGATCCTGATTTAGAAAACCATTTGGGTTTTCATAGGGAATCCTAACATCATCATCACAGAGTGCCACGTTCGCCAAATGTTGGTAAAAAGAGTTTTTCTTGCCTTTCGCCTCATCGACCTTATAATAGCTTTGATCAGTTTCTATATTTTCGACCACATCGTCTTTCCTCCAGATAGACAACTTTTGGTGCAATGTTAATGGTACTGCACCAATTCCATGAATTTATTCTCGATCCAACAATACATTGAAGTTTGCCTTGGAGTTTACCACCATGAATAACATTGACCCGGTGGTTGTCTCGACAACCAATTCAACTTGGATAACCCCCAATATGCTGTTGGTTTTCCCTCATAGTTGGAAAGAACCATATTGTATGGTCGTGTTGGCTGAAGATTTTGATAATATTATTAGAGGCCAAGTGAATTGAACGTTTCGATCGAAATGATACAGAGCGTCATGTTTCGAAGTAGCAGAAGCAGTGTTTCGAATAAGCATATCAAAGCTTGGAGCTTCGAGTGGCAATTATGGGAACATATCTAAAGAAGTCTCGAAATAACAACAAGGCTGTGTCTGAGAAGTGCGTTCGAAATGGAGAAGTACCAAAACATTTGAAATTCAAATGAAAGCGGGACATTCGAAGTTTGAAATTTATGTGCTGGAGCATTTGGAGACACGTGGAAATAAGAGAGAGGCATTGTTCTGCATGTTCTGAACGTGGCATAATCCTATAGCAAGACCGTTATGGTCGAATTAGTATAAATAGAAGTCTTAGTATTAGGATTTCGTGTGTCATATCTATTGTACTAAATACTCAGTAACATTTAAATTACCACATGGCAAGGGAAACGAATGCAAGAGCAATGTACGTATGATAGCACCATATGTTTATGATTTAATGAAAACCTTTTATCATTTTCAGCACTTTCCTTTATTTTTCTGCCAAATACCATTTATAAGTTTTCTCATTCAAAGTCTTCTTACTTCGAAATCTCTTCATTAAAGCCTTACATCTCAATGCTTTCTTTACATTTCAAGTACTTTACATTTCAGAAAACTGTCATACTTTTCATGCCTTTATCTTCAAGTTTTATCCTTCGAACGCCCATTTTTACTTAACGTCATTTTACAGATTTCTTGCATTAAACGCTTTCTTCATATTTCAAATCTTTTACGTTCCAGAGCATCTTTTACATTAACTGTTTTTATAATTCGAATCCATTTACTTGCCTTTTATGCAATTTTACATGTCTTTACAATTAACATTTATTCATGCAATTTAGTTTCGCGCACATACATTTTGATTACACCTTTAGATCTTTAAGTGGGAAATCGAAATAAGCCAAACAACTACACAACACTCAAACACCAACCATGAATATCTGTTCGATCATGAGAGTTACCCTAATGACCAAGGAATCCTAGGATCAATCTAGTCGATCCTGTGAGTTACCAAAGAAATTGAATAACAGTCAGTAAGTTTATTCGATAGTTTGGAAGACTAGCGGTTGTTTACCAGAAATCACTGGAAACAAATTGGCACACCTGGTGGGACCAATAATTGGACATTAGAAATAAAGATTGTTGAGACATAACCATTATAAAAACGTTGGAACCTAAGAAGTTTGCTGTTTTATGAACCTAAGAAGTGGTAAAATAACCAACAACAACCAACCCTTATCCAGAAGAAAACGTTGGACCAAGATGTCTAATTCTGACAATCAACAAGGGGAACAAAATGCCCCACATACAACAGGCACTAATGTGTCCACTTCGATGTGAACATCTAATGTGATACCTTTGAATGCACAGTCTGTTGCATCTTCAACCAGTAATGTAGCCACCAATGGAGTAAGTGGCATATCAACTAATAGTTCGATCTTAGGAAATACTGGAACCATTGGCTACCCTGGGGGATTCGTTCCACCATCAGGGACACAATCCCATTTTGCCACTCCACTAACTAGACCACCCGGTTTCGATGGTAATAGAACCAGAAATTCCTCTTATGGAATGCCAACTTCCTTTATGGCAGGTTTACACAATTCCATATCGAATTCATCACCTCAATTAGGGTCTGGGTCTGGGGCGAATCAGTTTATGACAAATAACCAAGGGTCAGTGGGTTATAGCACAATGCTTATTTTAACCACAGAAAACCAGTTGGCTTTTAGGCAATTGATGGATGACAGTAACCATAATATGATAGGGGTGTTAGCACAAACTATGCAGGAAATATTTGCCCCAATAGTGCAGAATGTGACTGTGACAAACAGGGAAAACGCTGACAATATGAGTCGAATAGCAGATTTCTTTGCTCCCCCAGAAAGGCATAGGCAGAATCAGGCGGGATTTCGAGCAAACATGCCTGTTATAGAACAAATTGCTAACGACCCAATTTATAGACCTCCTAGAGAAGAAGTTAACTTAGGGGCCAGGGCACCAAGGTTAGAAGCCCCAATAATCCCAGGCCCACAAAGAGAAATTATGGAACCAGAGGCAAGGGTCGAAAGGCTAGAAGCCCCATAGTTTCGAGAAGAACAACCTAGGGGAGTTGTCCTGGTTGGTCGAAATCAAGATGCCGATGTTGTCGTTCATAGAATTCGAAACGATAACATCTTGGCAGAAAACAATCTAACCACCATGATAGAGAGAGTCATGGCCCAGAATGGCCTTAACACAGGAATGAGAAGGCCAAATTATGCTTCTCCTATATTAGATTGCATAATGCATACTGATTTACCAAGGGGATATAAAGTCCCTAAATTTACAAAGTTCGCTGGGGATACTAATGAGTCAACAGTCGAACACATAGCGAGATATCTAACTGAAGCGGGAGATATAGCCAATAATGAAGATCTCAGGATCAAATATTTCCCAAGTTCCTTGACTAAAAACGCCTTCACGTGGTTTACCACTTTGCCTCCTGGGTCCATTGATACTTGGGCTCTCTTGGAGAGATTATTCCATGAACAATTTTACATGGGACAGTCGAAAATAAGCTTGAAGGAATTAGCCAGTGTCAAGAGAAAGTTCACCGAACCCATAGACGATTATCTGAACAGATTTAGGCTTTTGAAATCCAGATGTTACACAGTAGTGCCTGAACATAAGTTAGTCGAAATGGCCGCTGGTGGTTTGGATTACTCTATTCGAAAGAAACTAGACACTCAATATTTGAGGGATATGGCTCAGTTAGCCGATAGAGTTCGACAGGTCGAAAGGCTAAAGGCCGAAAAAGCCAGAGTCTTTAAGAATAGCAAGAAAGAAAGGATCTCCTATATTGGAACTGAGGAAGCAGAAGAATATCCTGAATTCGAATTTGAAGAGGTCGAAATCGACCTCGCTGAATTAAAACAGGCCCCACCTTACTCCTGCAAATTATTGGTTCCCACAAAAGGGAAAGAGATTATTGAAAATGAGAAAAGTGACAAATTCCCAAAGAAGGTTTATACCTTTGATGTCACTAAATGTGACGAGATTTTCGATTTACTTGTCAAAGATGGCCAACTTATTGTGCCATAAAATGTCAAAATACCTCCTTTAGATCAGAGAAAGAAGAGAGGGTTTTGCAAATATCATAGTTTCCTAGGCCACAAAACCTCACAAT